TAAATCGCGCTCAAATTGATTTGATTTTGATGCAATATTTACACTGAAGCTTGCAGGCAGCTATGGTAAGGTGCATGACATTTCCCGACCAGGCGCCGAGTGCAACCAATCACAACACACGCTGGCCCAGCTAACCAATCACAACACACGCTGGCCCAGCTAACCAATCACAGCACACGCTGGCCCAGCTAACCAATCACAGCACACGCTGGCCCAGCTAACCAATCACAGCACACGCTGGCCCAGCTAACCAATCACAGCACACGCTGGCCCAGCTAACCAATCACAGCACACGCCGGCCCAGCTAACCAATCACAGCACACGCCGGCCCAGCTAACCAATCACAGCACACGCCGGCCCAGCTAACCAATCACAGCACACGCCGGCCCAGCTAACCAATCACAGCACACGCCGGCCCAGCTAACCAATCACAGCACACGCCGGCCCAGCTAACCAATCAGAGCACACGCCGGCCCAGCTAACCAATCACAGCACACGCCGGTCCAGCTAACCAATCACAGCACACGCCGGTCCAGCTAACCAATCACAGCACACGCCGGCCCAGCTAACCAATCACAGCACACGCCGGCCCAGCTAACCAATCACAGCACACGCCGGTCCAGCTAACCAATCACAGCACACGCCGGTCCAGCTAACCAATCACAGCACACGCCGGCCCAGCTAACCAATCAGAGCACACGCCGGCCCAGCTAACCAATCACAGCACACGCTGGCCCAGCTAACCAATCACAGCACACGCTGGCCCAGCAAACCAATCACATCACACACTGGCCCGAAGGCGGGCCTTCATTTGATACAGGAACTATTCGAGCCGTTCATGCCAGACTGGGGAGAGAGGTGTTGTAATAATATAAAATATGTAAAAAATTATGTGTTTTTCGAACAACCTAGTATGAGAGCCTGTTCTAGTACACCCCCAAAACAAAATCAAGACTTTGTAAAAGAGCATAATAAAGAGCATAATTTAAATAAAATATCTCCTTTTGAAGTGGACTTTGAACTTTGTAACTTTGCAGATTTTTGTTATGCTCAAACAGCAACATTTCAGAATAACTAAAGTTGAAAAAGTGAAAAAGCATAATAGGACCCCTTTAAACTATTTCATTTTTGAAACCATTGTTCAGAAAGTGAAAGTCAGGCAATCTTGTGTTAAAAAAAAACTAGTGTGAGTCGTTCCTGAAGGAGAGAAATGAGAGGCGTTCACCAGGATCTGAGGAGATCTGCAGTTTACACAGAGAGAAACTCAAACTCTTCACAGAAACACGTCAATCACACATTCAGACCCATCACTGAAGCTGTTTCTTCATATAAGGTAAGACAGATGAATATCTGAAGATAAAAACATATCAAGAAATTTATCAGTGTTATTTTGCTCAAGAACTAATGATTACAGAGATCTCTGGTGTCTTACAGATTTTCTCTTTAAATTCAAGGAGGAGCTCAATACAGCTCTGAAGTCCTTACAAGAGAAACTTCAACACAAAGAAAACATTAAAGGAGAGTTTGAGAACACACTTCAACACATCAAGCTGAGGATCAATTCTTCTGACATATTCACACATTTGATTAGAACAGCTGAACTTTGACAATTCAGGCCCTGAATTTCGTTTTGGAAAATGGGGAGGAATTCCCCACTTAGGTGAATCTTATGAAATTAATGACAGACAGCAGCAGGTTTATTTTAAGCTGCTGTCTCTTTAAGACCGAATTCATTCATTCATTCATTCATTATTTGTGTATAAAGCACATTCAAAAACAACCCAAGGTTGACCAAACTGCTGTACAGGGCAGTTTCATCAAAAGATAAGAAACAAGATAAGAAAAGACATTAATTACTAAACGCCACAGTAAGTAAATAACTTTTACACTTCAATTTAAAAACAGAAAGAGATGTCGCAGTTCTAATAGATGATGGTATACTATTGCAAAGTTTAGGGTCTGCTTTTCCAAATGCACACATCATCCGTCTGTTTAACCTCTGGAGTCTTACATTTTCAGGTGATGCAGTAAAACTCAATTCAAGCCTCTCTATGTGTTTGATTCACTCACTGCTTTCAGATTCATTACACATGAAATTGTTCGGTGCTGCCATGTGAAAACATATGCAAACAGATGGACTAATATTATTAAGTATTTTCTATTTATTCCGAGAGATTTCATAGTTTAGGCCGACTTTGGCAGCTCTGTCATGGTCTGTTAAAGAGGTAAAATAAATTCACACTGTCCATCTCTGTTACTACTCATCATTAAGTTGGCTTGAGAAAGCCAACTTACTGATATTGTATTTAAACTTCTTCTTCTTCTTCTTCTTCTGACCAAAAATTTAAACAGTATCTCCTCCTAGATTTTATATTTTAGTATTTTAGTTAGCAAGTTCATAATGAAACTTGCGAAAGGTTAAATTTGCGTGCGAGACTGCCGATTTGCTAGAAAACTTTCGTTATGCTCCACCTAAAGCTAATAAATCAACGAGATGTTTTTGATCTTTGATCTAAGTACAGTTATGTTATGTGAGTCTAGAATGTTTACGCTGCACTAAACTTTGACGAAAAACACTCCGATCCGCAAACAAACAGATGAAGAAGAGGAGGAGGATGACGGTCCAGCGCATACAAGGAGAAAGGTTTGTAGTTTTAGTTTCCACATTCTTATTTGTATGAATGTAACTGGATGTAATTACTTCAAGGATGTTAGTGTGAAGAGGATTTGTTTGTACTATTAGTTTTATGATTCTATAGAAGAACGTTCTTTTCAAATAATCTGTTAACTAAATAGCCTATATAAGCTAGTTGCAGTGATTTTTACAATGACAATGTACTGCAATCACATTTTTATGCATCAATATGTCTGAGATCATTTGCAGTAAGCTGTGTCCTGCTTTTACAGTTGCTATGTAAGCAGACATATGTACAGGTGCTCACCACTGCCAAAACACATGTAACTGACTACAACAAAACACAGAATCACAGTTTTGTTGCTACTTTAGTTGCTTCTTCACTT